CTGGTCCCCCAAATGATGTACAATATAAGGTATCCTCAGGTCCCCCTTATGATGTGCAATAAAAGGTTACTTTTGGCTCCCTGTTAATTTAAAATGTAAGGTGACCTATGATCCTTCTAATGATGTACAATATGATAGTAGGGTAAGGTGACCACTGGTCTCCCTACTGATGTACAGTATAATTTAAGGTTACCTCTTGTCCCCCTAATTACTTTCACGTTTCTGGTTATATATATATATATATATATATATATATATATATATATATATATATATATATATATATATATATATATATATATATTAGGAAGTAGATCTGTATAAAGTTATAAATATGATTATTTTGGAGTAAGACAAAGAAAACTGTCTATCATATAAAATTCGATTAAAATATAAGGTGACCTGAGGTCTCCGTATTGATATCGATGAATTTACTTTTGTGCCTTTAATGCCTGAAGAGTTCCTAAAATGTTTTATTACTACGCAAAATAACGAACTATTTGCGGGGGACCCGAGGTCCTAGTTGAGCGTACGTTTTATCCTTCTGCGGCGAGCGGCGACGCAGTTTGGCACAGCAGTACTATGATGTCATAAGCGTTAATTTTTCCCCCGCACTATCAGACTTTGGCGTGTCAAACCATCGGGGTTTGGCGCAGACTATCGGACTTTGGCGTGACCATCGGACTTTGGAGTCCCATCACACTTTAGAGTCCTATATATCTGAATTTATATACTGGTAGCTAAATCTGAATAAAACTCAGACACGGAAGCAAAAAGTAATTTATCGATATATAATGCGGAATCAGCGTTCGCTATTGCTCGGTATTCATTCCTACCTGCACAAAAAATCAAATTTTTGTTCATCACTTTTAAATGCAAAACATTAACGAGCCCCATCTGATGATAGGCGTAAAATGTACGTTACTTTTTTTTCAATTTTAAAATATATCTTTAATAATTTTAAGATAAAAACAAATATCCATATTAACACAGCTATTGCATTCTATATCGTAGAATTGACCTTTCTTTTGGGATTGAACATTTTAGAAATTCAGATCTGTCAGGTCTTATCTTGTGTTACCAAACCAGTAAATGGTAACAACTACGAGGGGTTATCAAAAAGTTCGTGGACTGAGGCTATAAAATTAGTACTATGTTGTCTGAGCTTAAAAAAATTTTATGGAGCATAAAGCAACAAAAAATAAAGAAATGTTGAAAATTTTAGCTTGATACGTTCATTATTTCCCTAATTATCATAAAATGAAAACGACATTATATCATCACCCGGCGCCGTCTCCGTTTAGTTTTTTGACGTCCGACAACGTCATTGTTTTTCAATGTCTACATCCTCTACCTCATTCTTATGAGGTTCCCTGGAGCTGAGTAAGGACTTTAATCCGTCTTATTTATATGACTTTACAATGCCATGAACAGCGGCTTTCAATGCATACTATTGCAAATGGGTTTATAACATGGCAGAGATCCTCGCTTGATTGTGCCAGCATATTTTGTTTTTTTTTTAGTTTAATATCTTCAACATATGATCAACGTCATTTTTTGACGTGATTGATTTTTCACACCTTGACTCAGATCGACATAAACCGTGCATTCCTGTTCTCTCTACATCTATTTTGGCATTTAAAAAACAAGTAATTTGGATGTATATTATTTCTCCTTAGCCAGTTTAAACATTTCCTAGGTGTATACCAGTTTTTCCAGGGGCAAAAATTTATAGATTGTTGGAAAAGGAAACCCCTCCCCCCGTTTGACGTCATTTTCAAGGCAACATTTGTGTGGATACTCCATGTAAAATTTACGATAAAATTTCATAGAACTTCCAGAATGAGGTAAAAATTTAATATTTTATGGAACAATAGTGTCCCAACACATCCCTGAATTAACGGGATTTTTTGGATGTCAAATGTTCATATCACAATAGTTTTTCTTAGTTATACTTAGGTAGGAAAAAACGTCATTTTCGAGGTTGCGCCGCATGGACATATCATTGCTTACAAACACATCATTATTTTATTCAAAAATAAAATTTATGATTTGTAGTGTATTCTATAGATAGAAAAGATGATGGTAACTAAATATTTTAAAATTCATTCATGTACCTAAAGCGGTTTTAATTTTATGGCGCTAGTCCACGAACTTTTTGATAGCCCCTCGTAAGTAGACAGCGTAAAAATGATATGTTTCTTAATTCTCGGTTTCCTTTGTTTTCAGGCAAATGGATTCTTGTTTAACATATTTAGGTATCCAATTAACAGCATTCAAACCAACACAGTAGGTTCACCAAATCCTCTCATATCTTGTGTTACAAAACCAGTGAATGGTAAAGAAGTAGACAGCGTAAAAATGATATATTTCTTAATTCTCGGTTTCCTTTATTTTCAGGCAAATGGATTCTTAGCCAACCCAGTGAGTACACCAAATCCTCTCCTTCGTAAGTTGACTTCAAAAGCAATTATTGAATCATAATAAGAAAGGTTCTTAATTGCAATCACCATCTTCTCATTTGATGATTTTTATATCCGATAAAGGAACATATAATGAAGATCGTTGTCTTTAATGTCATTTCCTTTTTACCCTCAAAATACTGCTTCAGAAATAAAGATAACCGCAGGTTACGTTACTTTCATCTTAAACATCTACTTTTTAAGATTGCAACTTGAAACCAGCTGACATTGTCTTTCTGTTGGATTCCTCAGGAAGTGAAGGAGTGCGACATTTTAGGGAACAACTTAACTTTGTCAAAAACTTCGTAAAAGAGTTTGACATAGGACCCTCCAATGTACAAATCAGTGCAGTGTCTTTTGCAACAAGAATACGTGAAAACTTCAACTTAAAGACATACCATACTAAGGCAGACATTCTTAATGCCATCGATAGAATTCCATATATGTCCGGTTCCACACACACTGCTGAAGCAATCACCTACGCGATTCAGCACAGCTTCACCCTATTGGTGGTGACAGGGCCCCTGTTAGTGACGTCTTGTTCGTTGTGACTGACGGACAGTCCATTTCACTTTCAGCAACAAGTCAGGCGGCCAACTTAGCCCATAAAGCTGGTATTAAAACATTCGCAATAGGAATCGCAAACTCAATATCCGAACAGGAACTTTTAAATATAGCCTCAGATTCAAAACACGTGTTTCATGTTTCCACATTCGATGCCCTTCACCTACTTTAGAATGAGCTAAGAAATAAAACTTGCGAAGGTAACCATAACAGTTGTGCTTTTTCATTTATTATCTGAATTGCATATCGACTTTTTTGAAATATTCTTATTGTAATTGTCTTAAATTTATATTTTCACATTTATTTAGCATTATCCCAAAGTAGTTTGAATTGCTCTAACCAAATATCGAACTGTCAAATCTATGGTCCTTCTGTTTGCATTACGTACGCCCAGTGGGGACGAGATAAATGTCCGCTGTACTGTGGATATTGTCAAGGTAATACAATGCACTTTATATTACATGTACGAGTATATGTGATGGTTCATCAAATTTTCATTTACTCACTGTTCTAAAAAGTTTGCCTATTGGAATGCATATAGCTGTTAGATGAAAGTGGAAGTATTGTATTTTGGCACCGCCATCCATTAACAGATAACCCAAAATTTTATAGCCATTGCAGAAAAATTCTTAGATACCAAGTTTGTCAAAACAGCATACATATGTACTAGATAATTGAACAATGTCAATGCTCAGTAGTAACACCTAACACACAGATGTGAACACATTTTTTCATGCCAATGTATTGATCAAGATAAATTCTCGGATAAACAAGAAGTAGACATCGCATTCGTACTTACTGTAGATTCCTAAATGTATGCGTGAAATTAGTTATCGTGTAATTTCGCGAGAAGCACAAAACGGGAAATGAAATTACTTGTTTTTGTTTTTATGGTGCTGAAATCTATGTAAACCCTCTTGACCAACCGTCAATTTGCGACTTATTCTTCTCGAGATTTTATGCTCAAGAGATCATTCGCTATAATAAATACTCGCGAAAAATAAGGCATCGACAGTAATCGAATAGCACAATATGACATGCTAAAACAGTGTGCTGACGTTTACAGACGCATAGTCCGTAATAGCAGCATAACTGTACACATGTAGTTCCCGGAAAATAATAATTTATTGACAGACCGGAGTCTCTGATCACTCTTTGCATTTTTTTCAGAGCAGTGAGGTACTGATCTGCAGCTTCTGAATATAACAAATTTTCATTATTAATTATACTACACTTTTACAGCCTAATTTCAATAGTCAAACCATTTAATTCGTTTACCGTAAAAAATCGAGTACTGGTATTTTCTTTCAAATAATGTTGAACTTGTATCAAGCACACTACTTTGCTGGTTTGCTTTGGAGAGAGAGAGAGAGAGAGAGAGAGAGAGAGAGAGAGAGAGAGAGAGTCTCATTTTGTTTACGTACATATCTATCAGATAGTTCCTGAATTAAATACAATACAATATTAATCGTAATCTAATTTTTCTGTAATTTATTTGTTGATTTAATTCAACTTTAATCACAATATGTTGTACCAAAATGAAGTCCATGCACGGGTGTTGTTGTACTCCCGGAATTTGCTTTAATCCTTCATCCATGCCTTCCTACTTTATGGTAAAAAATTACTAAATAAGTTAATCGAACAACATGTCCTGTAAAATGCCACGTGATTTGGGTTAGTCAACGTGTTTTAGATCATTATTATAATTGCAATTCCTCGGCCTTTCTGAATAACGGAATAATAAACTCTTTGGTATTATGTAGACATCATTACCCCCCTCCCCTTTTTGTCCGAACTTTGAAATAAATGAAGGAAGATATTTAATCTGTGGAGCTTCGAGATTAACTTTGTTTACTTAAGGTATACCTTTACTCAGATGACCAAAAATTCCACTGATAAGAACGAAAAACCACTTATTGCGCATTATACACCAATGATTTTTGTGATAAATTTCAATTTCAAATAACTAGGTCAATGACCTACTTTTCATGCTAGTGGCCCCTGAGTATTTCTCGGGAAATACCTCAATTTTTCACATTATGACCAATTTTTTTCTATACACACAAAATATTACAAGCAACTAAACTCTTTAAATAATGTAATATTATAGCAATGGAACAACGTTGCTTCATATAAAGAAATGATTGGAGTTTGGGCCAGAAATGTGATAATTATAACAGTCCGAATTTCCTCTGTCATATTTATATTTTTCCCCATTTTAAATCGAATATTACAAAAATCTTACTGATAAGAACTCTAAACTATCTATAGCCTCAGATTAGTTTTGATGCCCTAATTCATGAGAAATACTTTATAAAATTTCCTTTCTGTTATCTGAAACCTGAGTAAACGTCATCCTTAAAAAACCTAAAATAAGATAGAAGGAACAGCAGATATCTGGAATCTGTTAAAAAACAGCGATGCTAAAGTTATTAGCGATGTGGCCCAAGGGCATGTTGTTTTTCAAATCATGACTGGAATAGGTTTTCAAAATTCAACATAGGAAGTTATATCAAGTGATTGTGTCTTTTTTTGGGGGATGAGGGTTGGGGTGGAGGTGGGGTGGGGGGTAGGGGTAAGGTATTTCATTGTCTGTTTAGCAATCTTATTCCAGTTACTCCAAAATAAAGTTATTAATCATCTCATAATATTTAAAAATCAAAGAAAAACAGATCGACATCTCGAATCTAATATATAATATCAATTAATGATATGGCGAAAAGATATACGAAATATATATTTATTCTTCAAAGGAGGTATTGCTTTTAATATCTGAGTGTCGAAAAGTTAATTAGATCAAGTTTTAAATAATGTTTATTTGCCCTTAGGAAAATTTGGTTGGTGGAAGGTAGGTAGGTATAAGTGATTTCAATAAAAATGCTGGCATGTGGCTTGCATTTAAACATTTAATGTTTCTCTTGGCGTTACAAAACCTTTGATTCGAGCCATTTTAGCCATTTGGGCGGGAGAGGGCAACCATACATTTTTTAATCATAGAAAACCCCGATCATTCAACTGGCATCGGAATTTCATAAATGTTATGGATTCTGTTGAAGATAACGTCAGACGCTTTCTTGAGTTTCTGATTGACAATATCTGTGTGGCTTTTGATGACCAGGTATTCCAACAATCTATTGGAATTTCCATCGGTACCAGTTGCGTTATTAGCAGACTTATTTTTGCATTCATATGAAGCAGAATTTGTGCGAAATCTTATGCGTGAAAAAAAACAACAACATTTGCAGTGGACTTCAACTCAACATTTAGATACATCGACGGCGTATTGTCAATTAACAATGGTAATTTCCATTCCTGTGTCGATACGATATATCATGGGGAGCTAGAGACAAAAGATACCACAGAGTCTGACATATCGGCTTCATACTTGTATATTTTACTTGAAAAGACATTAATGGTAATCTAACACCAAAGCTCTATCATAAACGTGATGACTTTAACTTTTCTATCGTCAACTTCCCTTACTTATGCAGCAATATATCTTCATCAACTTTGTGACCTGTCGGCAGGGGATGCTCACTCCTCCATGGCACCCGATACTACCTGATGTTTTAGAGGACCGTCTTTGCTCTGCTTCTGTTTTGTATTGTTTTATGAACTTTGATATTGAATACTGTTTGTTATCTCCATATCCTTCATTAAAAAAGACCTCGTATTTTTTTGACAGCCCAAGGAACGTCAACGTCAGTGGCTCCTGTAACCACAACAACACAAGGTGATTTTCATTTATCGACATGTTTCTGTTTCTTATCAAGCTACCATTGCGTAGCGTCAGTCAATATAATTTTTTTCTTTTATAAATAACCAACACGATATCAATGTGATATGTTTACCTGAATATGATATTCAAATTCTTGGTTAATTCTAATATGACTGACTGATTGATTGTACATTTCCTTTTTGAATGAATAATTAGTTTATTTATCCGTTACAGTTAGCACACCTGACATTATTACTCAAGGTATGTTAGTTGCGATCATAGTAATACTGTGTATTATATGTTGATTTAATTATTCATTTTTATGTTATAGCATGAGTAAGGAATGTTATATTATAAATGTAGACCATATTTCTTTAAAATTCTAAAGGAGGCAAAATATAAATACTCAATACTAGTTAAAGCTATATAATTTAATTTTGTTTGTATTCTTGCCTCTCATTGGTTGGTTTCCAAAAAGGAACGTATAACATTTTGTATAATCTGGTTTGGTATGGGGACACACCCCCTTGACAACCAGCTGAATCATCAGTATCCATCAATCCCCTCATTTCCAGTCCTTGGGATTCATGGAAAATATCAGATTTAATGAATGTACCTTTAATTTCAAACAGTTGCTCGATCTTACCTCATGTAAACAAGCATCATGGCTGCTAAATCTGTGTATCAGTTTTTACCTCCCCTCGCTTCCCATCACTTCCGTTACTACGGTTGTATTATTGCGCGGTAAATTTGAACTCATAAAAACAACAGAATTCTACATCCCCAGTTGTTTAATTATTTTAAAATTAAATTATAAGGAATGACTCTAATTCTTGGCCAAATTATCGAGTATAATATGGTTTGGGTCAGTTTACGCTTTTTTATAATCCGCTTCGCGGATTATAAAGCGTAAACTGACCCAAACCATATTATACTCGATAATTTGGCCAAGAATTAGAGTCATTCCTTAAATATTTGTCAGATCTTCAGTTTCTTAAAGCATTATATACAATATTAGTTACTATTTTGTTACGTCATGAATATTAGCCTATTCGCAAACAAGACAAAAAAGTATTTTCAATTGATTACCTGAAATGACGCTAGATTACGGGCAAAAAATATAAATCTTGCCCATAATGAAAGATAGAGATCAGCAGGTTGAAATACAGTGTATGGATGAAATTGGCATGCCTCACTTTAATTCACAATAATTTGAATTTAGTTATAAACACGTCATTTGATTGGGTAAAAAGATTTTATCAATTTTGTATAGCATAACTTGCCTACGTCACAATGACTTACATCAAAACGTATAACTCCGCTTTCCGTTATTTTTAAAATATGCTACATTTGAAGCGTTTTCCAGAGGAAAAATTGTCTTATTGTCTACACTGAAGTTAAATTACATGTATAAGGAATGAAACTTCGCGGTTTATAAGCGTAAAATGCCCCAAGTTATGTTAAATTGTATCACAAAAGATGAAATAAATTTGATTCTTTAAGTATATTCAAATTGTGAATTTTAGTATTCAGCTTAAAGTTCTCTTTATTGCTATTTATGATATAACAACTTCAGGACTTTCTCTTTCAAAGTGCTTTAGTTGTCTTTTTTTTTTATAAGCATCCTTATTTTCTTATTGCTAATGACACATAAAGGTTAGCTTTAGTTTCATCAAAGAACACAAAATTGTCTTCAATATAATGTACCTTAAGCAAAGAGAGTGTTTAAGGGCGGCGAAAATGGTAAAAATACCCACAATTTTATCATTTTCAAAAATGTATTGTAATACATGTACAATAAAACAGCTTTAAATCAAGAGACTTGATTGTAAAATCAACAGACTTAATCAGTTGCAAAACGAACAATCATCGATATAAAACCAGCAGTCATTACCAGAACTAGATTGCGGGCAAAAAAGATGAATCTAGCCCAAAATGAAAAGGTAGAGATGAGCAGGTTGAAATACAGTGTGTGAAGGAAATTGACATGCCTCACTTTAATGGACAGTGTTAACATTTCCAATTTCTTTGTCCGAGATAAAATTACAAATTGTTAATGGACTTTATTTCCTCATCAATGTACTGATTCATCGATAGGCGCAGTTAAAAAAAAAATCACATGCGTGCCGGGGCAAATAGAGACAGAAGCGGGATTTAGAGCAAGTGGATTGGAGGAATCAAGAGAATGTGAATATAAAGAATACTGCAAGATTTTTTAATTTTCATGATGATGATCAATCGATTGGCTTGCATGAAAAGTTCATGCATTTATGCATAAAATTATCACACAAGACACTCAGTATTTTTTTCACATCATGAAATCAAAAAAATAAACAGCGATCCCTTAAATAATAAAAACGGCTCAAATATTGATTATACGAGGGTTGTTCAATCAATGTCCTTGGTGCTTGGAAAGAAGCAAAAACGCTTTTCAGTGATTTAGACTTAGTTAAAGATTTAACTTAAATATTCTTTTCTTGATTAAAACACAATGTCCGTTTATTCACTTTCTGATTGTTGTTATAACTCATTTATAAAGCAATGGATTCATTTGTCGTTATCTGTTTGCATTTCAGACAAAGGTAGATATCTTTAAAAATAATTCCAATATTCTTACATGCTGTCGATTCACTTGTTTTTCAGAACGTATAGGGTGACTATTGAGTACAAAGCTTTTTTACTGTCAGATGTTTCTTTAAAAAGTGTGAACTACTCCCAAATTGATGAATTTCAAATTTGCTATTCAGATTTGATTTTTATGGAGAGGTCTGAGTGTTGAATTTCTTTAAATTTGAACATTTTTCAAAAGATTAGAATTTTGAGAATATTTTTATATATTAGAATTATTATGATGTATGTTTGTAAATATTCCCGGGATCATTCTTACAGTTGTAACGTAACGTTAAAACCAGAAACGCCGTGATGACGTTATCACGTCAAAATGCATAATTTTTAAAGAACACTTACCATTTCCAAGACTTCTGACGGAAAAACGGTTTTTGATAATTTAAAAAAATAAATTGGAAGGACTTCTGACAGATTTTTCGAGCTCCTTCATTTCGATTTAAGCTTATCCAATTAACAGTTGTTAGTGATGAAATCCAGCTTTTGATTTTCGGTTCTTTGTCCCTCTGGAGGACAACAATTCTAGTTTTTACATCAAACAAGGTTACAATGTGTGTTTGCGGGTTGACAGTGGGGATTGCATCTCATGTGTTGGTGTAGATGTAGGTATAGGTTTTTGGTCAGAATCACCGTAAAGTTGCAAGCTAACTTCATTTTCACTTACATCGGAGTTTATAAGCATAAAAACTCTACCCGTTAAACATAAATGGCCAGAAGAAAAAAAAATTAAATACGCACTAATTTCAGATTAGACAAAATACTTGAACAATTAAAATCTGGCTTTCAGTACTTTGATTTCTTATGGTACACATGATGAATAAGTGTAATGAATATACTGTATGTAAGGCGATGAGTGAACTATGAGTGAAACCCATAGCTTCAGAATTATATTGAAATTGTGAAATCTAGTATTTAGATTTAAGTTCTCATTATTGAAATTTATGATATAATTGAAATTCAATTTCCACCTTCATGTTTGTCTCACTTTAGGCCTTTTGCTCATAATCTCCTTTGTGAAAAAAATATCCAACAATATCGAATATTGAATATCGGGGAATGGAGTGTCCATAAATACCTGTGCTTAAAGCTGATTACGTTTAATATTTAATAGGCATCCAGTGCCCCAGTTGCGATGGACAGTTGAACTGTGTGTGGAATCAAACGTGTTATCCTGAGGAAGATTGTATGATAAGAAGTTATCCAGGAACAAACTTTACAACGCATTGTACAAGGGTATGTTTTGTTTATTTAATGTTCCTTTCGAGAATTATTCACTACGTTAACAAGAAAGTTATCATGACTTGTGGAGATAATTATCTTAACTTGGCATGATATGCTTTGTTGCAACCACTATTGAAATAACGACCACTATTGAAATAATTATATCAATAGTGGATGAGAGTGCATTTCAATAGCAAGCATAACTAGTAACCACTATTGAAATACTACCACTATTGAAATAATTATATCAACAGTGGTTGAGAGTGCATTTTGATAACAAACATAGTTACTAACCACTGATGGAATACGACCACTATTGAAATAATTATATCAATAATGGTTGAGAGTGCATTTCAATAACAAACAATATGTAATAACCACTATTGAAATACGACCACTATTGAAATAATTATTAGTGCATTTCAATATAATAACCATAGGTTTCAACCACTATTGAAATACGAGCACTACGAAAATAATTATTTAATTGTGAGTGAGAGTGCATTTCAATATGGTAACCATAGGTTTCAACCACTATTGAAATATACAACAAGAATTGAAAGAAAAGTTTCACCGCGTCAGCAACTTTTAAAATAATTATTTCAATATGTATTGGATTCATTGTTCAATGCACTAATAAAATCAATAATTTAATCCATACTGAAATTTTTATTTCAAAAGTGAACATTATTTCAATAGTGGTTGCAACCTATGTTTGTTATTCAAAGAATCTCACCCACTATTGAAATAATTATTTCAATAGTAGTAGTATTTCAATAGTGGTAACTATCTATGTTTGTTATTGAAATGCACTCTCACCCACTATTGAAATAATTATTTCAATAGTGGTCGTATTTCAATAGTGGCTACTAACTATGTTTGCTATTGAAATGCACTCTCAACCACTATTGATATAATTATTTCAATAGTGGTTGTATTTCAATAGTGGTCACTAACTATGTTTGATATTGAAATGCACTCTCAACCACTATTGATATAATTATTTCAATAGTGGTCGTTATTTCAATAGTGGTTGCAACAATGCTATGTAAACAAAAGGTAATTTGGATTGCATAAATATGCCATAATAGAAACCAGTCTTTCAATAAATATTTCAACAGTTTAAGATTACATGTAGTTTGAAAAAAAGTTAAATAAAGTAAAACTGTTTTAATGTAACCCCATACGATACTTTCTTCTTTAATGTTTTGATGTGTGTTACCGATTGCATCAGCGTTTCTAATTGCGCGTTAACTGGGGTGAATATCTTTGCCTGAATTTATACATTGCTTTTTATGCTGATTTCTATTTGACAGAAAGAAGATTGCCTTTTCATGAAAAATTTAAAAGCTGGTGAAATCTGGTGCTGTAGTGATCGCGATTGTTTAAGAAGATACTTGGGAATTTAACTTGAGGCTATTGTTGTACGAACGTCTTTTTCTACAGAAAATCCTCTGCTGTAAAAATCAATTTATAAATGATAATTCATATAAAATGAGAAAGCATTGATTTAGATTTCTGTTATCTTTGTTGAAAGAAGATGGGGGAACAAGGCGTGCAGAATGCCTATAGCTTCAGATGTTAAGAAATCGTCTTCAATTTGTAAATTGAGTATCTAAATTAAGTTCTCATTATTGAAATTTATGAAATTATGAGAAACAAACCTTTTCCGAGGGAAAAAAAATATCGGAAAAAATATTCTTTCCTTAAAATATAAAATGGTATTCGTGGGACTCGAACTCTAGCAATAAAATTCCGAGGTATGTCACTGCTTTGAGACTAAATCAACATTGCTCATGATGGAATTGGGCGTTAAATCATGTTTGTGATAGGAACCTTGACTTAATGGACGAAGAATTTCTCAAAAAGATGCGAATTTTTTGTCATTAAAGTGTCGTTAAGATATATTGGGTCTTTGCTCCATGATTTTTAAACCAAAAAATGTATATTCACTGAAAAAAAATAACTAGTGAAAGTCACTGGGAAGACTAGTAAATTTACTGTCCATACAATCACTACATCAAAAGTAGTTTTACTAGGAATTGGGTAGATTTACTAGATAATGTTAGTAAATATAAGAATTTATAAGTAACTTTCACGAGGTATCTAAGTATCTTTACGACCATCATTTAACTTTTCACTACCTTAGCTAGTACACAGAGTGATTACTAATCACGACGAACACTTTACTAGGCACACTAGTTAAATCAACTAGGTAATTCTCTCAGTGTTTTATTGCATTACATTATCAACACTACCAGACTAGTATTAAATTAAAACTGCTAGAAGAGTATGTAACTTTTTGAAAATGTGCTTTGATATTAAGAAGGAAAACTTTCAACAAACCTGATATGCTTACTTGGATATTTTATCTATGTATGTTAATTGTTGTATTCATGACTATATGCCAATGTATGGTGATGTTGTCAATAAATGAATTGATATGAAATTGCAAACTTTCAGGGTTATCTTTGCAAAAGTTGGAGCAAAGACCCACTCGTATTGAAATTTTTTGTTAACGTATGTAAAAATGACCTTTTTGTTCTTTTTAGTGTTTGTATGCTTTTTCATAGGCAAACAATATCAGTCTTTGTGAGATTTTTGTAAATTGATGAGATTTTACGTTAAGTATACTTCAATGTTAGATGAAATATCAAAGAAAATTTGGATATAATTGAAATTTAATTTTTCATTTCATGTTTGTCGCACTATAGGCACTTCATCCGCCTTACCCCCCAGTCTTCTTTATTGATATTTTCTGAATGACTCCCTAAGGGCTTTCCTTTTCTCTCCCACTAGTACTACATTTTTTTTTACAAACAAAAGAAAAAATTATGTCCGAGAGATTTGATTTATTGTACAAGGGAAATTTGAATTTGTTTATTACGCCCCAAGTATGCAGCACATTGAGAATTGATAAATAATGACAGAAAGACTCGAATTCTGAAAATGATAACTCGAGAAATTCTTAACAGGAATTATGTGCCTGCGAGAATATCATACAATTACTTGCGTTTTTGATGTCTATACGATGGTTTAGCTATCCGATGAGTACAATATTCCACGAGCCCATATGTTCTAACCAAAATGTATTGTTTCTCTCTTCTGCCTCTCTCTCTCTCTCTCTCTCTCTCACACACACATTCTCTTCCGACTTTCTCCTCTCCTCTTTCTTCTATTTTTCATGTTAAGGTAGATCAACATTGATTTTCTTCATACAGAAATGAGTAATATGTTGTAACTGCGTCGCTGTCATTGAAGCAGCTGGATTTAAAAATAATCTTTGCATCAAGTAAATTTTTCTTGCGAGTATTACTACGAGTATGTATTGATCACAGTTGTAATTTGCTCTGTCCATTTTATAGTTGTGAATTGTCCTGTTTGTCATGGAGGTAATTGTCATAAAGTAAAATGTATTGAATGTAAGGTTCACTTACATAGCTGTGTGCAAGAAGGCACCTGTTACATACAGGTATGTTTTCTATTTTTTTTTTTTACGTTTAAGTTCATCCGTATTTGTATGGGTAACAGTGCTAAAAATTAGGAGAACAAGATAATAAAGGGTACAATAAAAGGGTTTCATCAAATTATCTTACAGTCTGGTGAGTGTCATATTGGTGCTAACGAGAAATGTTGCAAGGGTGATACATGTATCGGTGAGAGATAATTTGAGATATTAGGTAAAATAAGATAATGTTATAAATGCCAATCATAAACATTATCACTTTATACTCTCTAATAAAAATTAAAGTTTTCATCATTACAGAACACGCGTTTTCGAAATGCCATACAACAACACATAATTCAACACATGCACCTTCAACAAAACAAACTGCATCTTCTACAACACTAAGATCGATATCTTCAGATAAAGTCTCCAGCACACTGAAGGAATTAGTTTCTACTTCATCGAATGCACTCCATGTAAGCTCATCACCAAGTGAAACACCTCTGGTATCGTCCAGTGGAGCCATTTCAACTCATGTCTCACCTAGTATCACAATAACTTCAACTTCTAGCTCTTCGCAAAGTAATTTTTGTCAGCTTTTTTTGAATAATTAAATATAGTAGCGATATTTTATATAAAGCTGATATTTATGTCCTCTAGTTGATTTTGTGCACGAGCATGCTTAATTTCTAACATTTTCCAAAACGAGGCATGTTTATAAGAATTGATGATGAAACTTAATTATCCTTTTTGCATATATAACAAAGCAGAACATGATTCAAGTACATCAATGTTGACCAGGTGTTCGTCTAAGAACATGTAAAATTTGTGGCGATTATGGGAATGGGATACCATGTGACATTCGTAGTATATACATCGGACCTACGGCACAGTGTGAGGTAGGAAATGATTTCTGCATGAAGGACATAATACATGACGGATCCGGAAATGATAGAGTTTTTAAAAGGTCAGTACATTCTATGTTGTTGTAAATATATCAAAATAATGGTGTATCCTACTACTGATGTCCCATTGTTTTAAACAGGTGTTTGAATGAGACTGTCTGTCTGTAGAACCCAGTGGTTATCTCAGACATCGAACCAGGATCACTGTACACAGTTCGGTAGAGTCCTGCTTAGTGGTGCTTACTCCAGTCACTTCTCTTGTATATCAGACGAATGTAAGCAGGGGCTACTGCCAGACTCAAAAGTCAATAAAACAATACAGAATAGGTGCAGATCAAACACGGATCTCCAAACCATTAGAGGTGGAATCAGGTGTTATGGAGGAGTAGGCATCCCCTGAGACCGGTCACACCCGCAGTGTACTCCTTGTCGTGATCGGGAATTATCAGAAAAATCCGTCGTCAATTCAGTGTATAAATAATGACTGACTATAGTTTACAGTCGATAAACCTAGTTTATCAATTGTGAAACTAGGTTTAGCTAATTTTTGTGAATTTGGCGTGCCATAGATATGAATCATTGGATATTTTAATATACCACAGTTTAGTGTAGTTGTGACGTCACAACGTCACAATGGATTTTGCAAAAGTGTGATGAAGTAAGTGGGAAATTGGGGTAAATGTGAAGCTTTTCATAAAATTTTCAAACTTCTAAAAAATAGACTGTAAATTTTCATACTTCACATAAGTATTGTATAGTTGCAATTTTGTGTGAGATAACAGTAGTGCAAATTTTCGCTTTGTTTTAATTCTCGTTCACATTGTCCCAGTTACCCCTAGAATAAAGTGGAGTCGTTATCTCCATATTCATCATATAAAAACATTGTAAAAATATGCTGTGAAGTATTAAACATGGGATAATCTAACTTTTATCCAACTCGTTGGATAAAAATATCATCCAACTACAAATCATGAGAGATCCAATATATATTTGAGGGCAACTGAAAACACTACAACTACAAATCCTTTGTCAGTAGCTAATATTGGTGGTTCTCAGATAATGCTTTCGCATATCGATGAAGTTCGGAGACAAAATCACTAAATGAAACATTTGGAAATAACAAACACTTTTCAAAAGTCCATAAAACAAAACAAGAGGAGAGCAAACACGGACCTCAAAAACGTCAGAGATGGCATCAATATATATATATATATATATATATATATATATATATATATATATATATATATATATATATATATATATATATATATATATATATATCATGATATATATATATATATATATATATATATATATATATATATATATATATATATATATATATATATATATATATATATATATATATATATATATATATATATATATATATATATATATATATATATATATATTGATATATATATATATATTTAACCATTTGTAATCCCTGATTGGTCATTTTTAGCCGGGCTTATTGCTCAAAGAGGAATTGCCGGTTTATGTCATCCTGTTCAAGGCAGGAAGTTGACCCCATAGTCGCCATTTTAAAGTTACGTGCAAAAATATAGTTCTTACTCTCAACCGCTTTTGAGATAATACAAACGCTAAATAAAACAACAAAAATAAAATTAAGTTTAATCTATATGAATAAACATTAGTAGTAATGACTTTGAAAACTTCAGTCCTCAGTCAAAGAGCATAGTTCATTAGCGTAAGGATTTTTGATAACCAGTGTTATCATAGTTCTCTACACATACGAGGTAAAGCAGGAGAGGGAACCAGACTGGCCTGTTTGTTTACATTCAGCTGCGGTACCAGATTAATTCTGATTCTGACAAAATCGGACCGTGGTATTAGGATTGAAAAACTCACTGTCAGTGTTTTTTCATCAAAATATAAACGTAATTCATGTAAGAAATTCAATCTACTCTGTAAATGAGCCCGGTGTAACGACGAAAAGTGACCCCCGTAGAATATTGACCAGTGGGTCATTTTTCTACGTAGAAAAATGACCCCGAGTTAATATTCTACGACAAGTAGGGTCATTTTTCGACTGTAGAAAAACATTCCAGACCAGTAATTCTACGAC